AACTATTTTCGATATTCATTTAAATCATTCGATGTGTCTATAATATAGTTTTCGAAAAGAGTTTCAAGAGAACATAGAAAATTTTTTGTAGATTTTTATAAAAAAAAACTAAATAAATCATCCAGTGTAAAAGAAATTGACACAAAAAAATATCAATCACTCAATGACAAAAAATTGACACGTAGCATCATTTAAAAAATATATATATTGTTGCACATGCTCCGTGACACGGGAGCAAAACTGCTCCATGTCACAGAGCAACTCCGTACATCATGGTGCATTTGCTCCGTGATGCACAAAGCAATTTTGCACCTTTATTTCGTAATAAGCTTTTCAAATTTTTTTAATGTCAAAAGACACATCATTTAAAAAATTAAGAATTTCTTTAACAAGCTAACTTTAAAAATTTATTGACTATTGTATGGTGATCGAATGCATAAATTTTATATATTCTTTCGAAACTTATTTTGAGAACTATATTATAAACATATCGAATAATCTAAATAAATATCGAAAATAATTAAACGTACATCAAACGTTATATATATATATATATATATAAAGACCATTAGTAGTGATTGTAGGAGTGAAGTGAGATATTCTGAGATATTCAAGGGTAAAATAGGAAAACACAAAATACGTCCTGAATGAATAGTGTTCGCCACATTCACTCTTTTATTGTAGTATATGTCGATGATTGTACGATAGTCGAATGCATGAATTTTCTATATTTTCTGGAAACTCATTTCGAGAACTATATCATAGACATATCGAATTATCTAAATGAATATCGAAAATAGTTAAACGTACATCAAACGTATTTGTTAAAAATGCGTATAACTAGTTTTTTCTTAAAAAAATCAATTATTTTATTAATATTTGTTATTTTTTCATAACAATTTTCTCAATTGGTATGACGTGAACTATTTTTTTTTTTTTTTTTGGACGTAAAAATTCAAATTAAGCAAAACAAAACTTTTTTTTTTTTTTTTTTTTGGACGTAAAAATTCAAATTAGGCAAAACAACAGCACCACAATGTTGAATATTTTTAATACTTAGTCGAAAAGATGTGGACTAATTTAGTTGACGATATTGAATATTTTAAATATATATAAATTTTTGAGGATTAAATTCAAATATATTAAATTGGGTGATTAAACAAAAATCTCAACCCCATTTAAGTGATAAAATATTATACTGTGGCTCAGTTTGTGTTTGACTCCATTAATTTTTTTTTTCATTTTTTCTCTATTTTATTTTCAATCGTAGAATCTTCTATAAAATAATATTACATGTAAATAAAAAACTTTTCATTTAATCGATTGGATATTGAACAATAAGAAACGATTCGATTAATTACATGATTTAATTATATTGAATATATTTATCATCAAATAAATCCTTTATATGTAAAATAAACATTCAGACTAAAATAATGTTTGATATATAAATTATGAGTTTCAATAATTTGGATTTTTAATCCATGCATCAAGGAAACATTTATCCTATCCCCAAAAAATATATTTCAATTATAGCAACATAAAATTGAGGCCAACTAATTCTTCATCTTGATTATTTTAGCATCTGAAAAAAATTTATATATAAAAGAAATTCGATCATTTTTAGGAATTTCTTTTCTTATTGTTACTTTTTCCTCTAGATCAATTAAATTTTTAAATAATCTAATAAAATTTTTGACATCATTTAGAAAATTTCCTAATAAACTTTTAATTTTTTTAATGTCAAAAGAGACATCATTTAAAAAATTTAGAATTTCGATAACAAATTAACATTAAAAATTCATCTACAATTGTACAGCAGTCGAATGCATAAATCTTCTATATTCTATCAAAGCTCATTTCAAGAACTATATCATAGAAACATCGAATGATCTAAATGAATATCGAAAAATAGTTAAACACACATCAAACGTGTGTGTTAAAAAATACGCATAATTTCGTCTTTTTTTTATTTTTAAAATCAATTATTTTATTAATATTTATTATTTTTTCACAACAATTTTCTCAATATAATTTACATCATTTCTTAAAAAAATATTATGTGGTATGACATCAATTTTTTTTTTTTTGAAGTAAAAATTCAAATCAGGCAAAACAGTAGCACCACACACGCGTATGAAGACCATTAGTAGTGATTTCATAAGTGAAGTGAGATATTGTGGGATATTCAAGGGTAAAATAGGGAAACATAAAATACGTCCTGAATGAATAGTGCTCGTCACATTCTGGCCCCGTGCAATGCACGGATTGTAATATTTTTAAGGTAATATTAACATGTCAAATATTAATGGATTCATTAAATTTTCATCTAAATCTTATAGAAATCGACAATCATTAGTGAAATTTAATAAGGATAGTATTCTGGTGAGATTTAACTAAAAAGTGTTTGTTAACTAATTTTCTTCCCAAGGAAGAAATTAATGGGGATGATGCTAATCTTTCTAAGTTTACAAATGTTTGACAATTCATAATTGTGCTATGTACCAAAATATTAATATGTAACCAGTGAACAAGGAAGAAGGTTCATTGGGAAAAAAAAGAAGTAAAAATATTACCCGATAGATCATAATGATATGCAATGCAATAGGTGAAGATCACTTTAAGTACTCTCAACAAAATGACTTACAGATAACATTAAAATCACATAATAAATAATTCATAAATGATGAAAATTAGCTAAATAAGAAGCTGAAATGGTATTCATGCAGAGTTGTAGTCAGTAACATTTATCGTGGTCTCCGTGTTGTGCGGTTTTCTTCTAATTTAAATCAAATGACCTTCCAAAAAAAAAAATTCCACAAAATAACTCGTTCAATGTGAACATAAGCGAACAGAAATGAACATTAAAAAGTATATTCACTGTTATTAGGTAAAAAAAAAATTGAAAAAAAATAAAAAACAAGAAAGAAAGAATTTGAAGTTGCGTGAGAAAATGGAAATGATGGCTCGAAAAGTGATGATACTGAAAAAAAATGTGCCAAATGATCTCTCTGCGCAGCATGGAGAGATAAATTTTTTACCAAAAGAAATGAATTTTCTGACCATTAGTGGGTCTCTTTGTGAGAGGAAAGTTAATAATATCGTTAGTGTTCCCCCTCTGTGAGATAGGGAAGTCAATAATTCCGGTTGGCAAATCTGAAACAGTCCAAAATGGGCTTTAAATTTGGGAAAAAAAAAGCAGAAACAGAGAAGACCATTAGACCACATTTCAGAAGTGAAATGGGATATTGAAGGGTAAAATAGGAAAACTCAAAATCCGTCCTGAATGAACAGTAATTGACATATTGTGTCTTTTATAGTAAGTAGGATATATATATATATATACACACACACATGAGTCACATGACATTTTAAAAATTGAGAATTCTAATTATTTTGAAATGTGCAACATGTCATTTTAAAAATATAACAAAAATAATGTGTTACCTTTAAATTAAACAACACGTTTCTTTCCGTTCACTTAAAATTTGACAAACGGGCCGCAACAAATTTCCCTTCAAAGCAACAATGGAATTTTATTCAGGTAGCAATGGCGCGTATTTTGTTTTATAATCAAAAAGTTATTATTCAGTCAAAACCTATAAAAAAAAATGAAAAATAATTACATGCATATTTCAGCTAAAAACAAGCAATATCATAATCCTGAGAAGTAGCTCGATGGTCAGATTTTGGGTTTGTTCGTTAGTGATCACCAGTTCGAGTTCCTTCAAGACAATTGAGATAAGTACCTGTGTGTAAATTTTAGGGCTCGTGGGATTAGTCGAAGTACGCGTAAGTTGGCCTCGATACCCACGGTCATAAAAAAAAAAAAATAATAATAATAATAAACAAAATCATACTACAAGCTAACCAAGAATCTCATGAACACATTAACCGCACACTTGTCTACGTACCATTATGTGATTTTGTATATGAAAATCTTCTAAATCAAGTGTCACTTTTTTATTAAAAAAATCACATCACATTTATTTTGACGTATCATATCGGCATAGGATGCTTGGCCAAGCTTAAATTTTATAGGATTTTGGAAGCCTTTACAGTATTATTTAGTTGTATTTTTTTTGTTTTGTCCGGCTAATTATACATCCAAAAGTCATTGTGGAAACTAAAAAACACAAAACAAAATGCCAATTACAAAATAGTTTTCCAAGTACAAAAGCAAGTGAGTAAAAAGTTTCATTAGTTACATGTTGTGGTAACTGAACTTTCTTATGATGCTGAGTGGTCATTTAACTTACCGAAAGTTATTTCCATTCCTCACTCCCTAAAATTCCGTTTCAATGGTTGCTGATATGGCACAACGATATGTCTCACTCCTGCCACGGAGGAGTTGTTTTCTTGAAAACAAACGTTTTAAGGGAGTGCATTCAATTGAAACTTTTAATGACATTTTGATATTTAAAAAGTTTAGGAATATTCAATTGAGACTTTCATAGACTTTTAAAAAGTTTCTAAAAATAACGGTGTATTCAATTAAAACTTTTTAGAAGTCTCTATAAGTTTTGAGGTATTCAAATTTGAATAGCTTTTAGAGACTTTATAAAAGTCTTTGAAGTACTAACTTTTAAGCAGAAAGTACTCATATAAAATTTTAAAATTTATCTCTCATTAATTACGAGATTTTGGGAGATTTTCAAAAAAAAAAAAAAAAAAAATTGTATTTTTCAATCTTTTCCCTTTTTCCTTCTACGAACGTGGATGCTTCAATTTATTTTTTTTCTATTAACTATATCGATTTTCATTTATCTTTCTTTCTCTATTGTACTAGATCCACATGAATTCTATTTCAAATGAAAATCTTCAATAGTCTTTCAAATTCTACAAAAGTCTATAAAAATTTTAAAATGAAAGTTCATAGAAGTTTATCAAAAACTTCTACTAATTTCATACAAATCTATAAAAAATCTACAATAATCATCACCTAAAAAAATCCATCAGAATTTTCAAAAGTTCCAATTAAATACACCCCCAGCGCAAAATCTCAAAACGACTTCACACCGGAAGAGGAATCGAAATCATAACCTCCAAATCTCAAAAGACGAACCCTAGCGATTTGCCCAAATCGCTTCCCCTCCAATTTTGAAAATCTCGGCACAAGATAAATTTGTGCCCTTAATCTCCCTTCCCTCTATCATCCGTCATCTTCCCATAAGCTAAACCACCAAATTCGCGAAGAAGCAAATCAATCGGCTGGATGACTTAGGCGCACGTATCTGGTAATTCTATATTTTGGTCTTCTTGCATTATTAACCGTATTTTGGTGCTTTTCCGAAGACTAAGAGGTGACGTGGTGCAAGGATATAGTTTGTATGTATGAGCTGAGAATGTCTCTGACGTATCTATGTTAGTGGAATTGGTGGTGGGTTTTCCACCTTGAAAAATCCCTCATTTTGGAAGTGGATATGTTCTGTTCTTTTTTGCATCAATTATTGGTCTGTATTATCAGATTCTTCATAATTTCGTAACTAATATAATATTTCAGTTTACATCTTATTTGGTTTCGTCTCATGTCAAAGCGAGAGATGTAATACTTTTCTGGGTTCTCTGGCCTGAAGTATCTTCTTTTACAGCTTGGGTTTTTTAAGTGAATTTTTTTTCAGCAAATGCTTGTTTGCTTTGTCATGTGTTTTTATAGTTTGGATTCTTAGTATTTTCAATTTTGTTTCGACATTTGGTATTATGAACTTAGAGCACTTGGAAACTTTTGACATTTTATCCATATGATGATATGAATTTTTGTTTTATTAGCTGAGAATGACTCTGACATATCTACGCTGCATGTTTGGAAACCTGAAGATGATTCTAGTGGAGAAGGCAAGACTAAAGATCTCATTAAAGACTTGTCATCTATGTTGGTGAGAGCTACTCAAATATCAAAAAAAGAAGTCGTGATATTCATCAACATGACTGTACGGAGGATAATGGGAAAGGATGGGAAAAATGCTTATGAATTTATTCCAACTATGAGACCGAGTGAAGAGTTTTCTTGAATTTGTCGAACCCTACGTGATTGGCACTAAAATTGTTGTAAATTATGTAGTATTTTCATTGCCGTCCAAATTAATAGTTAACTTTGCTTGTAATGGAACTATTGTACATGGAAACATTGTGCAAAATATTATTTTTTGCACATGCTTAATGGTTTAAGAAATTAATGCATGTCAGTTGGCGAATTTGTATTATGAGATTTTATGTTGCCATAACAAATATGCAGTATCTCTTCGTCTAATTGAATACAGATCATGCTACAATCTAACAATATTCTATCCAAATTGTCTGGATAATACCAGTGGCTCTAAGAATATTCATTTACGTGGAGTTGTATCTAGAGCTTGGCGTCCATAGAACGCCATACACACCAAACACAACACTAGAACATATATAATCTATTAAAAGAGTACCCAAACAGAGAAAAGAAAGAAAAGTACTAGTTACCAAAGGTGTGTTTCAATACAAACATGTTTTTGTATAAACATTTACATTCAATCAAGATAGCATAGCAGTTTCCATGACAATAAGAATTATGCAATCTACATCTGTTATGCACGTTCATGTTCTAATGTTCAATCTACCAGAAGAACTATTACTAGCAGTCAAAAATCATTAAATTCTTTCATTTGGCCTCCGTTTGGCCCCAATTCTTTCCAAATTTTAATGTTTGGAATAGTATTTTTTTTAAAAAATGTGTGGTTGAAAAAGAATGAAAAGTTTTTTATTTGCGTGTAATATTATTTTATGGAAGATTGTGATTGAGAATAAGAAAGAGAAAAAGAATGAGAAAGATAATGGGGACCAAACAGGGGCTCGATGTTCTGCCCTTGGGTTTATTTAGGCCATCATCTAAGCAGATTTCTGATACTTTCTCTAGCAACCATGGGTTATTCTTCAACTGGGTTTTGGTTTTGGTTCAAAGATGATCCCGTACATCTGGATGCGGTCATTTTCCCTGTATTACAGCAAAAACACATCTAATGATGCTGTATAAAATAGAGAAAATTCACTGAAGAATTTAAGAAGATGAAATTGATTTTTTCTCACTTGTTCATTAAGCATTATGTTGATGTTTGATTTCACTAGTTGAAATCGGAGTGGAAGAATCTGTTTAACATACAGAGACCGAGATATACACGATTGCCACAAGCATTTAAGCAGTAGTTCATAGTATGAAGCCTAATAATGCTAATAGCTCCACCTATCAAGAACAGCTACAACTCATAATTGCTAAAATATATACGAAATGTTAATTGAAACACATATTTTCACAATGCCTAAAGCAAAATTGAGGAGAAAGATATACCTCAACTTGAAGCGTCCCTAGGCGGAAACAGGGTGATGAGGACTCCCCTCCCAGGCAACTCCGAATCCTCAACAGACAATGGAGACACCACTGAACCAGTACTACTATGAACCGGCACCCCCACGCTCTGCACTTGCTGGTGCGACTGCCTCATAAACTGATGCTCGTTTGGCGGTAAGCTCCCAAAATTCCTAAACTGCTGCTGCAGCTGTGGATAGTGGCTCGGCTCTGGCTCCGGCCCCGGCCCCAGCCCCAGCTCCAGCTCCACCCGTGGCCCAACCACTGTCGTCATTCGATGATGCTGCTGCTGCTGCATTGCTGCCACCGGCATAAAGGGCAAAATATGATTGGAATATGGCCAGCGTGGATTCGAGAAATGCCCTGGAGCAGGCAAGGTTGCCATCAAATGATTAGTAGGATCCACACTAACATTATCCACACCAACATCTCCTCTCCAATTACCGGAAATTACCTGCAGCCGCTTCAAATAAAGCCTGTATTTCGTCAAATGGCTAGCAACATTCTCTCTGGTAAGTCCATCCACGCTCATCAGCTGCAATATAGTCCTGGGCACAGCATTTTTTATCCCCAAATGAGCTACAGCATCAAAAAATCTCTTATGCAGCTGTGGAGTCCAAACAAGCTGCGGCCGCTGTAACCTCGGAGCCGGATTGTCCAACCCCACAGCAGCTCTAGCCTCAGCTGCTCCCCCATCACCGCTCCATCCAGAACCTACAATCTTCATGATCTGTAAATTCAACAATATGCACACATGTTGCGTAGATTTTCCTTTTGTAGTTGTTGGTAATCAATTATTATGAGTACTTTTTTATCGTAAATGTAGCACTTGCCTGAAGAACATGTCATTTACTATTAGGGAACATTCAAATGAAAGAACATGATTTAAGTAGTTTTATTAATATTATTTCCTTTACTTATGATATGTCTACTAAATGTGAAAATAAAGGTTACATATTTTAGAGCAAGAAGAGCAATCGTCCTAAGGTATTTTGATATTTAAACTTCTTATAATCAGAATTCAATCAAACAATCTAATTTTATTTTCTGCTAGTCAAACAAATCAACAAATATGTACAAAAACAAACCAATCCTCTAAAACAAATAAAATTCGTGCCATAAAAGCATTGGCTAAGAATTCTCAAAAACTATATGATTGGGTTGAGAATTGCATGTCAGGTAACTTGGCCAGGAACCTAAGGCATAAGTTTTAGAAATCTTCCCGCTATCGATTATCAAAATTCTCCAATACAATTTCCATGAACTTGAAATTGCTCTTTTGAGAATTAAAGGCGCACTTGGGAACTAGGAATTCAAAATTCATCTGCAAGAATAACGTACAACAAAAATGCAAAAAATGTCAGATTATAATGATTCGTACATGTTAACACAAAACACACATATAATATTTGGATGAACCAAAATTGAACATGTCAACAGATGACTGCAAAATTGATCTATCAAAAAGTAGTCATCAGTTGAAAAATACTGACTTTAACTATCGAGAGCAATAGTTCATATCAACAGATGACTAAATTGATTTGTCGAGATTTTATTATCTGTCGAGCATAACTGAAAACTGACGGTCGAGAATGAAGTTCATCTCGACAATTGAGTCACGTAATTGATTTGTCAAGAATTAGTCATCTATCGAGAACTCATAACTGTCGCGACTTTCATTTTGACAAATTAAACAGTTCACTTAAAATATATTTATGTTTGTTTGTGTTATGTATGAAGTATTGGTAATTAAAAGTGCCTATTTTCACATATTAAAGAAATGCAAAAAGTTCAATTTCTCGGCTTCTATAATAAGAGAGATAAATAAACACACATGCACATACACAACATAAACATGTGAAACCATAACCTTGTTGACATTAAAGCAATTAACTTTCGGTAAGAAAATAAGAAAACGCAAAGGATAAAAAAAC